CGCCCACATTGTGGTTTGACAATTTATGGAGCTGACCATACATTTTCCACCCAACCAAAAAAAATGTGGAAAAAAATTCGAGTTGAGGAAAATTTGCATTGCGAAAATAATTAGAAAATCGTCTTGCAGGCCCACAAAATTGTGTGTCAATGCATTTTATTTAGTGTATGTATGTCCATGAAAGCCCACAGATGGCCAAAATATGTTGAAAATAATTTCCAAAGCACAAATGCGCCAACGAGGCGTATGTGTAATATTTCAATCGAAACAATTAAATTGTTTTCCATTGCCTTGGCAATTTCAAAAAACAAAATCTGCAGTCAGGCAGACTTGAGTCTTAAAAACAAAAAGAACAAAGGATACAGAAAATCAGGAAATGCATAAAGTGTACAATTTTAAAAGAAAAAAACTCCAGTAATCTATTCTTGTAAACGAAATAATGCCAAAACAATAATTTAAATCAGCAATCATTTAAATTCAAATATTACTTTACATTTATTAGCTACAACCTTTTTATTCCTCAGCCGTTTATGCCATTCGCTTGCAAACGAAGACGAAAATGTGGCAAAATACTAAGCCCGCTAATTAGTCAAAGACAAAAATTGTTGGCAAATGTTTGTAGCAAATAGATAATTGCAGCTGCGGTGTTTTCGGGGGGCTTCGAGGGTTTCGAGTGTAAATGCTGTGGCAACTTATACCGCACACGTTCGCCAGGACACTGGCTTAATATGACATGTGGGCGGGTTTGTTCCGCAGAAGTCCTGCCGCAGACAGAGAAGCCGCAAGTCGGCAACAGCAAAGGGGTGGTGGGTGGAATGGAGTAGAAGGACACCTTTGCGTGCGGCTTTCCCACCCACAAACACTCTACACCCCATTCATCGCCTCCAATCTCAAGTTTCCCGCTGAGATAGCCTGGATTTTTCCACGTAAATAGAGTTGTCTCATAGTTGTCATATGCAGGTTACATTTTAACTTCCACCAATTGATTTAAATTTGTTTAAAAACATTAATGAATATTATTATTAGGGGGCTGGAAAATATTATACAAGCTGAATTTCCCATTTTAAAATATTGCAAAGTAAATTTAAAGTGCCACAATTATTATAATATTTTGGTTCATTTATTCTAAGTACTATACAAACTGGATTTTCCCATCAAAAATATCATAAACTGTTTAAATATAATTTATTAAGGATTGTAAGGAAATACTATAAAAGTTTAATTTAAATTGTATTCAATAGATATAATTTTTATTCGAGAAAAAACACATTTATTTTATTTTTTTATTTTTTTTTAAATTCTGGCTTACAAATACATTTTTATTGTTTTTTCAATTTAAAACTATTATATAAGACTTCATTTAATGGAAAGAAAATGATCCTGGAAACGAATGTCCTTCAGCCAAGCAAAAACATAAATTTGGTAATATTTTAAATTTTTAGGTGAATAAAATATCTTAAAAATCAAACAATTTCCCCTTGAATAGCTTTCATCTGTTGCTATTACTTTCGCATATCTAGAAACGTGGTGAATGTAAGCCATCAAATCAAAGTCTTGGCCATAAACGAGCTGAGTACTCAGCACCCACATCTCCTGCAGCGTCATGGCCCCCCTTGTGGGGCCAGAACCACCCCGGCATACCCGTTCCATCGCAAGCCCCCCAAGGATCCCGGGATCTCGGGTGCTCCGTCGACGCTGTCGTGAAGGTGTCGTGTTGAACATGTTAGGTGTCTTGTCGCTTATCATGTTAAGTGGGTGCACCCACGACTACGTGCCCGGCATGTGGGGAACGGTAGCGGGAACGGGAACCCCCATATCCTCCCCCCTACCCCTCAAAGGGGGCGGCACGGCGGCCATGTGTCTATGGTAATTTTCATAGAAAATATGTAAAATTTCCAAGACACACAGACAGACAGACAGTTAAAGAAAAACAAAAAAACAAGAGCAGAGCAAGTGGGGAAATTAGCAACAACATTTGCCACTCATCTCGATACAAAGAACACTGAGAAAAAACAAATCGAATCAAAAAGGCCTTATGAAAAGGTATGTTTAATATCTCATAACTTAATTAAAAATCATGGAATTTTAAAAAATATTTGTACTGCTGTAAAATTTAAACTGTTAACTTTGTCTCTAAAATTGTATAAATATTTTAAAAATGTTTTCTTTACTTAAGAAAAATATATGTGTTAACATCCACATAAGTTAATGGCCAATAAAAAATTATAAAAACAACAAATTTATTGGTAAAGTATTAATGAACGACAATGGAAATTCTTTGGAAGAGATGAAAATTCTTATTAATAAATACAAAAAAAGAAACATAAAGAAGTTCAGAGCAAGGAAAAATATTGACATGACAAAGTGGTATTTTAAATTTAAGTTGCTTTTAAAAATCTAAAAAATTCCATCTTGAAGAATCTAAAAATACTGCAGGTCCAGGAATTTCTTTCACTCTTTTTTTACAGTGTACTTTTGAGCCGGGCGCTCCTTGGGTCCTCTGCCACTTGGCCTACTCCTGGCAGCTAATTTCTTTTTAAAGTGCGCGACTCTGGCTCCTTGGGCTACACGGTGTGATGATGCTGCCACTGATGTTGATGCTGATGCCAGGACAAGCTCATTTGCACCTCATTAAATGCTGCCACTCGACCCGATGACGACAACGAGTGGAACAAGAAGCGACAGCAGCTAAATCAGTGCCCAAAGAATACGACATGTAAGCATTTCCACATCTACATAACCCCGACAAGATGAGGACCTTTGAGGCGGAGGAGGGCGAAATCTGAGCCAGTGTTTACATCTCGCGGGCTAATGAATCCTCATCCTCGTTTTGCAGGGCATCGTATGTTGTGTCAATTGATGGAATTTTTGCAAAGTGCCAAGAAACGGAATAAATGGCTAAATTAACCATAATATGTGATAATATCTAGACTAGCAGACCTAGCATAAATATCAAATAACAAATAGTTATACCAAAAAAACTAAAGATTACAAAAGTCAAAAAATATTTATGACTAAAGCGAAATTTACTTTACTTTTATTTGCCTCAAAATAAATTATTCGAAGGTGTCAAAGAAATAACTTGTAAAGGTGTCAAAAAGTATGCAATAATTATTATCAATACGAAAGTCTAATGGTTCATTTCGAAAACGTCGTTCTATTTTCACTGCATACTTTTAGACACCTTTTTACCATAATGATTATTTCGCCATAAAAATCTTTAACAGACTTAAAAAAATATTAAACCACTACTTTTAAAGCGTAAAATGGCCAATGGAAAGTTTTGCAAAAATATATGGAGCATGTGATGTGAAGAGGGATTGAGAATTAAAGTGAATGGTTCTCGAAATAGAAGTCGCTGGCAATTAGGCCGGGATTTAATTGAGCTGCATTGTTGGCATTTGGGTCCTCGAAGTGCTCGACTTGGCCACTCAAAACTCAAACCCCAGATCGCTGTTATTATTATTATTATCATCCGTCGGCCGGGGCTCGCGTTGCCCATTAAATCAAATTAAGTTAATTTGCCGCACTGCGCACACAATAACGTCATCAGAGAGTGCCATCCCATCCCAGAGCCATCCCATTTTCCCATTCCATCCGCCCTCGAGTGTGTCTGAGCACTGCTAATAAACGTCATCGATGCATTGATGCATGCCAATTAGCAGGAGGAGCTGTAAACTGGGAATAACCATCATGGACATGAAGCCAGCCGGCTCTCCCTGCTCCTCCTCCTGCTGCATCCATCTACTGATGATGCTGCATCATCTTTGGCACAAAAACTCAACTGCAATTGCCGCATTAATTGCAACTGTCAACCGGCTGTGACCCGCTTAACCCTTGACTGCCTGCCTCCTCATCCTCATCTCCATCCGCCTCCTGTCAAGCATCCTGTCAACCCAGCCGCCTGCCTGGCAGGCATCCTTCCGCCATCCTTCCACGGAAATCCCCGCGGCCGGAGTCAATCATCCGGACAGGCAGGCATCACGGTTTTTAGTACAGTGAACCACCGACGGAACGTAGTAATTATGGCCAACGGTCCACAGTACGTATGGGTGATATTCTAGAGAAAAGTGTAAATAAAAATAGGGAATATAGAAATAACTATAGCCAAGCAAGGCAGGCAAGAAAATTATAGAAAAAATAACAGTTTCTTTACCTTAAAAATAAATATTTTTCAAGCATAGCACTTAAGCTTTATTTAAAGCAAAATGTAAAGCTAAATTAAATGCAACAGCTTACTGAAGCAACAAAAAAGGAAGAAAAATCAATAAGTTCTTAACTTTTATTTATTTTAATTTAAGACAAAAGTAGTTACAATTTGCCTCGATAATATTTTCGAAATTAGAAATAAATAAATATGCTACTTGATTAAAGGAATTCATTACTTCCATCTTAGATTCAGTTAAGTAAATTTAACAGCAATTCCCAAATAAATATATTTGGTTTGTAATAATTCCAAATTATTCCCCCTTTTAAGGCAACTAAATAGATGTATCCTTTTTTTCCCACCCCCACCCCCGCTGTCATTTATCCAGCTCGACAAGTTGACAATCTCCGCTCTGGCTTTGTGCTATCCCATCATCCAGACCGGGGATAAAATGAAGATCATCCATCAGCAAATCATTGACCATCAAGGAGTTATTGTCCGGGCAGAGATTGTGCCTTGCTTTATGTCCAGGCCATTTCTTTGCCATTTATTCTGAGCCGGGCTTTAAGTGTTCGAGGAGGAGGAGAAGGAGGAGCAGTTGGGGGAGGCGGGAAACTTTCAAAAGCAAATTTCCCCGAGGATCCAAGGAGCCGGAGCTCCGACTGCCGTCGACTATAAACGTCATCGGAATTCCCCAAAGCCATTAAGCGCAAATGTATGCAACACCCAAGCCAACCGGAAAAAAAGAGGAGCTGGAACTGAAACTGAAGCTGAAATAACTGAAAAATGTGAGCTGGCATGTCCCGCCAATATCTCACGCCCGATCCCGCCCCCCAATCTTGGCAACACTTCATTAGCAAGCTCCGGAAAAAAGCGCCAGGACCTCCTTCTCCTCCTCCTCGCTCTCATCCAGCTCCTCAATAATTTCATTTTGCAACACTATTGGCTCGCCTTGAACTAAAAAGTAATTTCATTGATTACCAGCGAGTCCTCGCGCAGAAAGGATAACAAGCCAAGCCAGCTACCAAACGAAAGATCTACACTGTTGAATACATTTTAAGCTAATAAAATATCGAAATAAAAATATAATTAGTCAAAATACAAATTCTTGATTTCTCAGTTCTTAAACGATAATAAAATATTATTAGATAAATAAATGAATTATTGAACTAAAAAGTTGATCTGTATATTAAATTAATAAACCAATTAACATACTAAACTTTTTCTTTAAATTATTTGAATTAATCGGAAAAGACTGCTACTTTGGTCCATTATCTTGATATATAAAATATATATTTTTTATTATTCTAAAAGTTTTTTTATTACTATTGTATACACATTTTTATTTACAGATGATTAGATTGTTTAGCATTACCATTTTGTACGTTTTGAATCGTGGACTTAAATAATTGTTTATAATACAATTTTATTTTAAACATTTTTTTACTAATTAAAATTAAAATTCCATCTTTATTGCCGTTTTTTCGAGCAGTGTAATCAGCCAAAAGCCAAGCCATAACCAAACCGAACCCAAACAGAAGCGAAGCGAGCAACGACACCAGCCACTTGGGATTTGGCGGGGGAATGGATATTGGTCCTGGTCGTGGTCCTCGTCCTGGTTCTTCCTCCTCCTCGTCCTTCCTGCTCATCCTGACTCTCGTTTTGGTCCTGGCATTGGCATATTGGAGAGGGTTCCAGCACTGCGGTTATTCCGGAATGGTCGGGGATGCCGATATGGCATCCATTGTTGCGCTGTAAGTAGCACTTTCATAAGCAAACACAACGAGCGCAAATCAAAATCGTAAAGCGTTCGATTTCTTAAGTAAATCAAATAAAAATAAAACAAATCATCTATACACTTCAATAGAAACCCGCACATTGGCATAAGGTTGTGAATAAATCATTTAATATTTTGAGTATAAATCTTACACATTCTGATAATTTGTTCATTGCGTTTTAAATTATGATTTTCACGAAATAAAATGTATATTTTCGTATTGGGAAAATATCTGAATTACACATTTTTGTTTAAAAATTATTCAAATTGATTTTAAAAATATAATGAAAAGCAATTTATAGGGGTGCCACAAAATTAGTTAGATTTTTTCAAATCTCTTTTAAAAGTCAAAAAAGTTGTCTAAGAGTATGGTACAATATATTTGTAACCCAAAAGTTGTATGAATTCATACAGGAAGACGACTTACCTTTACTCACTGCATATTTTTAGATACACATATAATTATAATACACTTATACTATTTTTATGAATTTTACCCCCTTATTAATATTCACATTTTGAAGGAATTATTGATTTTAATGCCTTTTGATTAAAAATGTTGTTACTTTAAATTTGTTTTAGAAAATGTACTCGTAATATTAAAATATTTTTAAAAATACTGTATTAAACGAATGGATGACTGACTGTCAGCCTTTGTCTGTCTGGTGACTTTCCCATACTTTTCCCCACTGCCCCCACTCCACCCACTTACTGGGCAATCAAAATGTCCTGCCCTTTCGACCCCTTACAGAAAATGAATGATTGGATCAATGACGATGAGTGACTGAAATGGGGGTTATTTTTTGGAGATCAGAGGGGGGCGAAGGTTGCGTCTTTGTAACTTTGAATGCCCCCAGTTCTTCCCCAGTTTTCCCGCAGTTTTCCCCCGGTTTTTCCCCCCTTTGAACCATCCACACAAAGCGCTTTAATGGCTTTGTTGCCGTGGGAGTCCTTTTGGCTGTGTGCTCAAGCCAAAGAATCGTTTCCAATGCCTTTAATGATAAGCTGGCAGTTTTCCCGGCTATCCCTTCGACTCTCCCGCCCCTTTCCCCCTTCTAAGGACGAAAATTAACTTATCAAACATACATTACCGACCCAGAGTTAACATTTAACAGCATTAACGTTAACACACACAACCAAGAACTCAAGTGGGGATTCCCCACTTTCTACACCTCTTTTCTTATATATTTTACACAGTAAATATTGGTAAATGTATAATGTATTTATTGCCTTGAAGAATTCATATAGCATGCGCATTACAGTTTAAATTTATGTTTTTTATTGCAATCTTTAGCATTTAGAAGGAATTCATTAAACAATTTAAAAAGAATATTTTAGATGTTTCCTAAAAAATAAAGTATTTCGCAGTCTGTTTTGTTGATTTAGTTTCTTGTGATTTAATATTTATTTTTCCGCGTGTGCCCTTTTCCGGCCAACAATCGACCTCAACCTTAACTAATGGCAGAAAACGTTCACTGCGAATTCCCCAAACAATTGAAAGTTGCCCAGATGCTGCGCCTGGCAGGGTTGTGGAAAATGTGGAAAAGCGGGTTCGGAAAAGCGTGGCGAAAAGAAAAGCACACATTGCCTCGAGCTGTTGTTGGTCGCTGATTGAGTTGGAGCTATAGCTCCTCGGGATAATGGATAGTGTAGATGCAGGATGCAGGTCTCTCTCTCGTTCAGATCGAAAATTAAATGAAAATCTATTATAATAAACAGCAAAAAGGAAACTAAATTTGTATAAAAACAATAAAAATAAAATAAACATAGTTTAACTTAGCTTAAACTTTACAGATACCGTTTTTTCATAATTTCCTAAATTTTAAAACCATCGATATTATCGATAATGGTATTTCGTTTTACCAACCCTAGTTTTCTCTAGTTTATTTATATGTTCATTTAACACTTTATTTAATTTAATTTAAGACTCTATAACATTTTCCTTTACGGTTTAAAAATGTTCCTTAACATGTATCCAATATGAAAACGTGTAGCTAGACTTCTGCAGACTTCTAGCTGTGTTTTGCCTTATGCTCACCATCTGTCTGCCGTCGGAATAAAATGATTTAATGGCCTAGGCCCGAACAATAAGTCTAAGTGCGACTAAAATTCCGGCAGCACATGGACGTGGAGTCCTCGAGCCCCCCTTCATTCACCGAATCCCAATCTGTGAGACCCCCTCCTCCCCTCTTCCCTTTGGCGGCAGAAATTATTGGAAAATTCATTAATAAGCGAACGGGAAATGGGAAAATTGCGCGAACGCAACTAAACAACAGAAACGCAAGACGACACAACTCGCACTGAAATAAATTTCTAAATTTGTGTTTAGAAAAGACAAAAAATAGTTTAATAAAAATGCAATTTACTTCAAGGTTTTCTTAGTAATAACATTCAATTGATAAACTCAATTTAATTGTTTAAAAAATTTCTTTGACTTTTTGGCAAAATATTTATATACTTTAAAGAAAGTAACAAAACACAATATTCTGTTTCTAAACCTTTAATAACATTACATTTCGTATTTATTAGGATGATCAAAAATTACACATATTTTCTATTTAAATTTCCCTGTCTGCCTGGCAAATGAAGTGTGTTTTATAATTACAATAGAAATCATGCATTTCTCCGTTCGCAAGCCAAACGCAGCTCACACCTTGTGTGTAATTTCTGGGATATCCGATGTGCCATTTCAGAAATTTGGCTGCCTTTCCGGTGGCCAATGATACAAATTCGCCCTTCTCCTCGCGATCGTGAATGCCCAGCCAGTAATATGAGTTTGTGGCGAGTCTCACTTTGAGTGCATTCAGTTCCGATTCGTTTTGGATCGCTGCCAAATAGCCGCCCATCTGGCGACAGGTCTCTCCAGCTGTGGGCCAATCCTGAATTTCGTTGTTTTCAATATAAAAGTATCTCGAATCGATTTGCTCGAACTTTGGTGGTATATGTTTTAGATTATTCCTAGAGAGCTTCTTCTGCGGCAGTTTGTTCAAAATATCCTGTGAACTGTTCTGCAGCGCCAAAAACTGGTCATCCAGCTGGTTCTGAAGGTCCTGCAGTTTTGTCTCGAAGTCCTCCTTCGTTATCATCGTCTTGAGGGACTCTTTAATACCATCCAATTTATCCTGGATTTCGGGTTCCTGGAAAGCGGCCAAGGATGGACGCAAATTAAGGATTATAAGGACGCCCAAAAAATAGGATGCAAACTGCAGCATTCTCGTCAAATTCTCTAACCACTCAGGGCGAATATTGCCAACTAACTAAAGGTAATCACCTTATGGTATAAAAAGAGGAATAAACATTCCAATTAACAAACGCGCTTTTATAATGGAATATAATCAGTGTTTTAATCGCATGTTTTTGCGGCTTTGCCAAAATATTTCTTTGTTTAATTGTAAGCCTTTGTTTCAAAAATATTGCGCAGTTTTTAAACAGTACTGAAAATGCTTTTATAAATATATTTATTTTATTTATTTATTATAAATATTCTTGTATGGTTATTAACAAAAAAAAAACAAAGAAAACCTATATTGTGGGAACCACAAAATATGAATTGGGAAAATAATTAATTTTACCATTTATAAATTGGGTGTTTAAACAATTTTAGATATGGAAATTTCCAATATTAGTTTAAAAACGGTCCTTGGCAGGAATTTTGTAATATTTCTTATTTTTTGCAGTGTTTAATGGCGGAAACGGAGATGAGATGAGGTTGCCAGATGGACAGACAGGCAGTTTGGTTTAATTGCACCCACATGGACTCCCTCACACGCACACACACTATCTCACTCACACACATACACATAGGCAGCTTCTGTTTTGTGTTTAGGCTGCATGAATAATTGCCAAACTGGCTTCGCAGGCCGCGAGGTGCATTTTACTGGGGGACTGGAAGGATATACGGAGGGGAATACGATGGGGCTTCAGGGGCTGCGGGGGCCGCAGGATCCCACAGGATTGCCGAAAGTCGAAACGGCACTTAAATCATCAATGAATGAACGAATGAACAAATGAACGAGTGAGCGAGTGAATGAGGGGAAAATGAAATGCGGAGCAATGAAAGGCAATTGGCCAAATGAGCGAGCAGGATTTCCTCCTGATAATTCTTTAAATTAAAGAAATGTTAGGAAAGTGTAATTGTCAGTGTAATGCTAATCAATATTTAATGCAACTAACCAGTAACATTTCGAAACAAAGAAATATTTTGGCAAACCACAAAAATATGCACACAAAAATAAAAAACAATTTAAAATGCACTTATCTTTAGTATGACTATCAAATATATGTTTTGTGCGTTTTTTTTAAATAAATAATTTTAGTATGCCAAAATCGGTTGTGTTAAGTGGTTCTCAGTTCGCTTCCTATTTTATTTGCCATTTTTGACATTTTAAAGAATTATTGGACAATTCTCAGGATTGCGAAAAGAAGGCTTTTGCAAATAAGGAAAATTTAAGTAACACATTAATGGAAAAAGTACAGAATTTTTGGATGCAAATTAAAACTAATGATTAACTGCTGAACTTAGAAATATATAGGTTTTGATTTATATAAAAATTCAATAGATCTACAAAAATGGTTTAAACCGATAAATAAAAGAAGTTTAAGGTAAAATGTGGAAGAAGTGCCAAGTTAAATGCTGGAAATACACGCAGACTTCGAATGAAATGAATAAAGTAGAGGAACTACTGACCAACTGGCTAGTGACCAAGTGGACCACTGACTGCTAACTACTGACCCAGACACGAAAAATCCCCCACTGGCACCTCAAGTTGTTGCCGCATTCTTTTGGAATTTGTTGCCACTTTTTTTGGGCTGAGGGCGGAGGGCAAAGGTCACGCGACCGCAGAAGTATCACAATCTCCCAAAAGCTGACCGCAGCAACGGTTTCTGGTTCGGTCTGGTTCTGCGTCTGACTCCGGGGACATGCCCCCATCCCTGGGAAAAGGAATCCACAACTGACTACGTGCCCACATCGTGCACTCGAAGAAACTATACAAAACTATTCGAAAAAATAGACACATCAGTCCCAAAATTACAACGTAACTAATCCATTTTTCTTGATTTCCAAAATTGTATAATTTAATTAAAATTATTTAACAGATTTCGTTATACTTAAGACCAATTAAAACATAAGTAAAATATACATAAGCATAATTTAATTTAAAGTAAAGAGGACTGATCGTTCACCAAAATATTTGACAAATGAATTTATAGAAAATATAGACAGTGTTAAAGAAAATATATTATATATTATAAATTATTATATTATATTAAAGAAAATATATATTGTTATTGTTATATATTATTTATTGTCTGGAAATAAAACATCAAACTAAAAGAAGGATTATAGTTTAAGAAAATACTTATATGCTTCAAACAAAATTAAAATTAAATAAGCATTTTCACTTGGAAATTCTCTGAATGTGCCTTTGCCGCCCGACTGCAGATACTCCTCTATATATTTTATTTGGTTTTATTGATTTTATAAAAAGGTTATATCTATGACTCCAACAGGGAACGCTGGTTGATCGGGCCGCATATATGTATATATACTTATATATACATGTATAAACAGGAGATGGGGAAAAATGGGGGCAGCCAAGTTGAGGCATTTTGGCTTTTAATTTCAATTTGACAAGCAAAACAGTTGGCACTTTTTCTCTCTCTTCGACTACGTGCAAATCGTTTCGGAAGTCTGGGGAGTTTTCCTTTTCCTCCATCCGCCTTTTCCCGCTTTTCCCCGCTTTTCCCGCCTTTCGCCCATCGCCGATATATTCCCGTCCGCATTAGAGTCGCAATTGAAGAACTCGACGTTTTACAATAACTCACGGCATTTGATGACGTCTTCTGGTATTCCCTATCTTTCTTTATCACTGTAAGGTGCGGAACGGGAAAATAAGGCTTGAAATTGGTAAAAATGTTAACGTGTCCATAATAAAAATAAAAAATAAGTTTAAACAATATATTTTGAGTTATTTACTATAAATTAACACAGAAATTTCTACACGCAAACAAAATTGATCCCACATAATATCTAATTGATCATCGCTTCAGATCAAGTTTTTTTTGGGAGTAGTGTTTTTGACATCCCATTTTTAAGTGATTTTTAAGCCCTACTGGTTTATAATTTTTCCTGTCTCTTAAATGGTATTTCCCTTTTAAAGATTTCCCAAATCAGCCTGGGAATCTTATGAAACGCACTGTCTGAGTTTTCCTTCGCCCCATGTACGTGCGTTTAAATCTTCGATAACTTTTCCGTCGGTACGTGACTAAAATGCAATGCGACCTATAGAGACTACCAAATGTCCAAATGGCTCGGATATGTGTGCACATCTCTGGGTTTTTGTGTGTGTGTGAGTGGGATATGATTTTGGAATTTTACCAAAAATGAACAAGTCGAGAGATGGAAGGCGAAATGAAAAGGAATGGGAAATGGAAAGGCAGGAGGAGCTGGGAAAACCCGAGTCGAATGTCTGTCCCGAGGCCTTTGTTCCCGCATCTCGATATATATTCAGCCTCAGCTTTAGCTTTCGGTTTAAAGTTCCCCTTAGAATTAAGTGCAAAATGCCTGCGGAATCATCAAACATTGATTTTTAGATGTTACACACACACACAAAGCGATTGATAAACGGAGCACCGGTGAAAGGTGATTAAGTGAATGTGAAAAGGATCAAATGGCAGGACGATTGGCCCACAGAATGCCAAGTGCTCATAAAGTGGGCCGTTTAAGTGCCGAATTCGAAGTCTATTATCTGGGGAATGTGTTTTAAAAATTAGCTTTCTCCTTCATCTGTTTACCTAATTACCTGTTATGGCATCCCAATTGGTTTTATAATCGGTTAGTTATGCATTTGCCTAATGAATAATATAAAATATGTAACACACACATTGTATGTGCGTTACACAAACTGGGATTAATTTAAAATGAATTTGTGCCTTGCATCGTTTATCTAATCAATCAACGTTATCAAATTATTATTTTGGCCAGTGCCTTATTGAAACATGCACTTTAAATTCAATTTGGCAAGCCAGTGATAAATCATAAATATTGATTTACGCTAGCTCCGAGTCCCCGCAATATATGTATGAACTACAGAGATACCGGAGAAGTGCGGCAGATTATCAATGAACATGGACATACTCGGATTTTTGGCACTCGCAGGCAGGCACTTAAATCCTTTTGAATTGCGGCAAAGGACATATGTTTGCAGCTAAAAAGGCGCAAAACTTCCGTTTCGAAATCGAACATTTTTCGGAGAAACTTTCCAACTTCCCAGCTTGTTTCCGGATCCATAGAACGTCCCCCTTTGGCCTTCTAAAAATTTTCTGGACACAGCTGGCCATTAAATGCAATGCTCTCCCTCGCTCTCTCTTTCTCTAGCCATCTCTCTTTTCCTGCACTGAAGATTTATTTTAAGGCTTACATTTGTTATATTTATTTTTTATTTTTTTTGAGCATATTTAGGGTTATTTAAAAATAATATTTTGATAACTATTTTTGTTTGCTAAATTTAAATGAAAATTAAAGGTAAAATATTTTTAGGTATTTTTAAACAGTTTTTAATATTTATTTAATGATAAAAGATAAAAACTCAGATCGTTACTTATTATTAAAAACAATTTATCGATTATAATGCACATTTAAATATTGGGATGATGAAAAGCATGCAGGAAAAAATGAAAGCGGACTTAAAAAAATGTTTGCCTACATTTAGACACCGTTATAAGAGATTTCAATTATAAAATTCTAAGAAAAATATTTAACTGAAATTGGAGTAGGTAACTTTGCTTTTTTTCCAGTGCATCCATTCTGGACAAGGAGCAAAACTATTGAAGATGGCCTGCAGCAAATGTGGGTGTTGACATCTATGTCCTTCCATCTGTGTATTTGTGTGTGTGTGCGGGGAGGGGGTTCTCTGTGTGTTGCCTGTGGGAAAATGTGCAAGGAAAATGCAATGACAAATAGGCGACAAAACGAAATGAGAAATATCCAAGGAGGAGCAAAGCGAGATGAAGAAATGCTCGAAGAAGGCAATGGTTCCAGCTGAGATTAGAAAAGCATTTGTTCCAATCAAAAAGCCAACAAAAGGGAAACAACAGAGCAGTGCCGAGGGAAAGAGAGGGCGCTGGGCGGTGCGAGGGAGACGGGTGACAAGGCCACCAAGGCGGCGTGTCCTTTGGCCCGGCCAAACAAAATGAAGGAACAAAGGACAAA